TAACAAAGATCCTTTCTGCATTGCTGCACAGCTCTTTAATAAACTCTCAGTTAAAATAAAAACTGCTGCTGATAAATACTTCAAAACACTGCTTAAACATGATCTTATTAGTGTGTGTCCATACAAGATATCTGATTGCCTAAACTTTTTGTAATTAAAAACCATGTACTGCTACAAGAGTTACTACTCTTTGTATCTATCAGTCCAATAAGGCAAAGTACTATTCAGTAATGTAGTAAATAATGTAATTATGTCAAGATATTGTAATTTATGTATTTGTTATCATTATTCATATAAATCATTATAATATCATTTATCATATAATATCATTAAAAAATATTATTATCATTTAATTTTTTTATGCTTACTTCCCCAGGTTAGTAGGCAATCTAGAAAATGTGAAAAAAATTAGAGCCAAAGAAAAAATGTTTTTCACATCAATTAATACGTTCGCAATAATTCCTTTTCAAAATTTTAATTTTCAATAATTTAAATTTTAAACATAACGTAGGTTCATTATGGTGCTTTTTGTGAAATAGTATAACATTCTTTCTGACAAATATTTTTTACTGCAAGATCATCTATTTTATATGAATTACACAGGTTTAATAGGCCAGAAAACCTTGTTTCTTATTGGCAAACTTAGTGATTATTCCAATTTATAAGGCTCTGGTGAAATTATTTTGGAAATAATTTTTTTTTTTAATATGAATTTTCTGTCAAATTGGGAAAATGATCATATTTTGGATGCTTCTGAATAGTTTCAGTTATGCAAAGTTGAATTAAAAATGCACATTTTTTTAAAATCATAATCTCAGTACAAATGTGTTTGAATTGTAATAATTTGGAAGCAAATTTCAAAGCGGTATAATTCACATTTTTAGAGTCCAATAGTGTGACAAAATGCATTTTTTATTATTATGATTTTCAACAATAGGAATCACTTAATTGTACTTCTGGATTTGTTTTATTAGATTTTCATCTTGCCTTTTTTAGCTTCTGATGCCCATTTTTGGTGTGTTGCCTTATTTCTGCCTTTTTCGTCATTATTTTCACTTTTTCCCTCCTGCTTCCAATCTTTATCAAGGTGGAATCATTCCTGCATGCCTCAACAACATGAAGGGACAGTTATCTATTGTCTTTTTGTGGGCATGAATTTTTGGGCATTTTGTCTCCAGGGTCGGGTGAATAATCTAAAAGGGTAAGGAAGACAATACCAGTGAAGATTTTTGATATTTTAATTGATGCTTAACAGACTTGTTCTCTGACGATGAATCTCATCCTGTTTGTCTATGGCTTCAGATTCCTTTTGAAGACACAGCTCTCTGTACATGAGATACGCTTCTCAGTTCCTTCTTGTACTCTCTTCTCTACTGGCAATCACAGAAGTGCGAAGAACAAAGTCTACAATTAAGTTTTCATTGATACCATTTTAAGACTCAAAAGTGAGTCCACAATAACATTTCGTAGAGGCAGCGTTGCAAGTACAATAAATTCATAGACATCTCACCGGATAGTCATGTGCAATCGAGATTACAAAGAAGCAGTAGTTTCCTTCTATACAAGTGCTAATGGAAATTTTAGAGTTAGAATAAAAAGCTGAATCATTTTAATTCTTCAACCTTTTTACACTAATTAATTTTAAATGGATGTTTTTAATGTTTTCTGTGTTTTTCCCTGTACTTTAACCAAAATAAATGCCAGAACATACGGCATAATATTCTACTCTATCTGTTTAAATTTCAAAATGGCTATTGCATTTTATTATGTTGTGGGAGATACAAAGGACCGACTTTGCTTTTAAATAGTTTTTTTTCTTGCTTTCAGCCTTTTTTATGGTTCTTATTTAAGTTTTGTAGTAATGTTCATTTAGCTAAAATTGCAACTCCTACGTTTTGGCTGTGGAAAAAAGCAATACAAAGTGGTGTAAAAAAATTCAATAATCTATCAAGTGTGTTTATACTTTATTTTGTTAACAGAAAAAGGAAGAATGCTTGTGTAATTATACAATATTGTGTAATGATTTTATCTATACATGAATACATCATCAACATTATTTCACATTTAAATATGGTACTCTGTAAATTATTGCACAAAACATACACTACCATTTTTGGAGCACACTTAATACTAAAACCTAAAATGCCTGATTAGTTATGGGATAATCTGTACAAAATGCCAGTCATTTCCCCTTCACCCAACTTTTTTCATTTTTCAAGAACTGTGGAAACCAATGTTTATACATTATTGAGTAATGAAGAGGAATTTATGCATTTACAATACTCTCACCAATAACTAAAATACCTTTCCTGAAGGTAAACGTTGTGGTGGAAAGTATATTTTAAAAGGTCAACAAGATTTATTAATGATATTAATAAACCTAATAATTAAATATATACAGTACATAATTAAAATAACTTGTAATGCAAGTGTTTGTTCTCATCTTACAATTGCATTTTCATTTAGAAAAAAATGTTTTATGAAGACACATTATTTAGTAATCAAAATACGCACATGATATATTATAAAAAAATGGCAAAAGACATCAGATAATTAATAAAAAATATTAAATTGAAGTAGATTTTGTTCACACAATAGGTCAGTAACAATAAAATGTAACAAACCTTACAAAATTTAGGTATGCTGTTTTTTATTATAACATTTTTGAAAAAATAAATATGGAAATTGACAAATACAATGTCATTTCATATTAATAAGAGTAAAAAATATTTTCAATCTGTAATGTGAGCCCAAACTGATTACAAATCATTCATACAGCTAAGACTTTACCACATTTGTTCCTATTAGAATAAGAGGTACGTTTCAACTCAAACTCATGTAAAACCTCTCAATATTCAGCGAGGTTAATATTCTAAGACCTTTTGGCATCTTACATCACATAAAAATTTCACATAGTACAAATGTAATGAATGCTTATACATCATTTTGCACTTTCAGGAGAAATTCACAGCCATTCACAGATGTTGAAGCTCTAAAACATGTACAATGATTGTTGAAACTGTGACTCATTCTTAAAACTGAAATGTTATTTAACTCAATACTTCTCACCATGTCCATATTTCATGGTATTCTACAAGTGTGTAGCACGCTTCTTGCGGAATAAATTACTAAGGACACTCGAACGCTTATCTTTGTCTTTGTCTTTTCGCAATACAGCTGGTATTTGTTGATCACTATCTGTCGGGCTTTCACTGGATCTCTCATTGGAGAGGAAATCTCCACTAGCCACCGCACCAGCAGGAAGAGTATGACTTGGGTATGGTGGCAGCGATGTAGGTCTTTCACCACCAAATGTGCTCGTCTGCTGAGAAAGAAACATAGATTATAAAAACTTTTTGAATAATAAAATGAAATATCTTTACAATTAATTTTTCTACCCCATAGTGTGATTTGGAGGAATACTTATTAATAATAATAATTTACTGACCTCTCAATTAAAACCTGAAATAATTTCTAGTCAATACTTTCTCAATAAATATATTGATGTTTTGGAAGTAACTTGTAGGAAATCAAGCACTCAATCATTTAAAAACTCTTGAGAAATAAAATCTCCAGTATAAAGGCAGAGCAAGAATAATTAAGAATAAATTTATCTTTCAAACCAAAGTGTAAAATTAGTTCATTAGAATTTGTCTTAAAGTTATTGTTAAAATCATAAAATGTATATATGGAAATAGGTAATGAACAAATTTGAAAATGATGAAATGCAAATAAAAGAAAGAAAGAAAAAAATCTTAAAATTTGCCAGTGTATGAATTGAAACTTTTTCCATTTTTACTAATGGTATGAAAAATGTTTTAAACAAAATATCAAAAATGAGTCTCGTTAAAAGTTGAACATTTACAGAAGAATCTAAAACAATGACAATGTTCCCTAGCATCTTCCTGTATATATTATACAAAGAACTAATATGGGCCCTGTTCTTGGCGTGTCAGAGAAAAATATTAAGAATTAGGATAATATACAATATAAATAAGTAATTTATTATATTATAGTAATAAATATATAATAAATCATTATTAATTACAATTAAAGTTCATTTTAATTCCTTACAAACCGGAAGTTTCAGTTACAAGTCATTATCAAATTCCCAAGTTGCTAAGAGAAAATCTTACCTGTCGAACTGGAGGCCCCACATTTCCATAAACTGCAAAGAAACACACACATTCATTAAAAACAAAAATTCATCAGTTATTTTAAAATACAAAGCTAAAATATTTCCCCTCTGTACATTTTATATGAAAATTTGTATGCATATGCTTTTATTCCCCCTCTGCACATTTTTATATGTAAATTTGTATGCATAAAAATGTTGATATTACACAAGGAAAACACAACTAGACCTAGTTATTGTAAAGAAAATTAAAAAGTATAGGAAAAGAGTATTGAATAACTTTCATTCATGCAGTGATAATATTAACACCTTATTGAAAACTAATTACTCAGTAGCATTTTGAAAAAGCATGTTCCTTTACCTGAATTCAAAAAGAACTAAAGAAGAAAATTTTCCATGCAGGTAAGTATATCCCGTAAGTTATAGATTACAAAGCGTGAGTAAAAGTATGTAACAGACACCTTTGAGCTACTTAGTGTTGTTTGGTGAAAGATCTACAACAATATTTGAATTTGGATACAATTAATAACACACAAGAAGAGCATTTCTTTTACTAGCATTATCATGCCCAAAATATTTTAATCTGTAAAGACAAACAGTGCAGAAAATTTAAGCAAAGTAAATGCAGCATTAGCTCAATGTACATGTTTAAGAAACATTACATGATTAAAAAATACAATGTTTAACAAAAATGGTCTATTAATATAATGTTTTCTTTAAACTGTCTTCCTGTGGTTCAAGGAAATAAATTTAAAAAGCTCACAAAAACAATTAATGATGTAAAATCTGGATTCTGATTGCCAGTGTTTCAAAATGTCCTTTTTAGAACCATTCTGAACAATCTCTCTCTTTTTTCCTTCTCTTTTTTTCTTTTCCGATTTCAATTGGTGTTTATTGTTGTGAGATTTTTATTAATAACTCTCAAAAAAATCATCATTATGATGAATATATATGATTTAGGGCCATTTGCCATTAATTTTATTAATTGCTTTATTCCCCTTTAATTTTTCCAGTATTCCCCCAAGTTGAACCTGAAAAATATTAATTCAGACTCCCCCATGAAGAGTATTTTTAAAAGGGGGAGGAAGTTGAAAGCCAATCTCCTTTGGAGTATACGGAAAATAATAATCTCATGTAATGCTGTTTAACCAATTTCATTGAGCTAGTAAAAAACAGTTTGTGATTGAATGTATAAGAAAGATTGTAGTGAATATTTATTAAGATACAAATAATTAAGATGTACAAAAAAACTTATAATCTGAATGTCATTTACAATTGAAGCACACACATTATTAGGAGGCTCTCAGCTGCCCGGTTGATGCCACATCAAGGGCAATGATGCTGACTTTTCGACCACCCTATCATGGTTATCTTGTGTGCGAGAGTGCCCTGATGCATCATAACCTAGACAGCCTTTACATAACACTGTCTGTGACAGCCTATGCACATATTAATAGTTTGCATTTGATAAGACAGGTTGAAAATTAAACAGACATTTGCACAGTTTTTGTATTTGTCATGTATGCAACAAAATAAATAAAAATTCTTTAAGCGTAATTCTTTACCCTAACAAATCAACATTTTGACAAATATAATAAAACACATTCAACATAGATTTTCAATAACATTCAATTGTACAAAATTAAAACTGTCATCACCTTTAAAAAACTTAAATGATTATGGATTATACAAGAAACAAAAGAGGTTAAAAAAATTAAATTAAAAAAGAAAAGATTTAGGGAAGGGCAGTTTCATAGTTAAAATGATAAATTAATAATAACCATAATCATCATGAACTGACCAGAAATTAGGCTCTATTGCCTGTTTTTATTGGTTTATTATAGTATTCTTCGTAGATTCTTAGACTTCCAAGTGTTCCTGCTGTTGCCATGTGTTTATCGGTCTCCCTCCATCACTGAGCCCTGTTGGTTTGTACTTCCAGAATAATTTTGGAAATCTGGTTTTGTTCATTCTCTGTAAATGATCTTTCCATTTCCTTTGAGACTGTTTTATCTCTTCTACTAAACATTTGGTTTTCAATTTCTTTCTAATGTCTATTTCTTAGTCTCTTCTTTTAGAAATGAGGTGTTTTAGAAATCTCATGTGTGCTGCCTGTAATTGTTTGTCACTCTTTCATTACCCATGTTTCAGAATCATTCATGATTCTAGGTTTAGCAGCTAGCTTATTGTGGAGTTTCAGTTTTGTTTCTGGGTTCATGTCTCTGCCAATGTGTCTCTGGATTGTTCCACATATTCTATTGTAGTTATTAAGAATGTTTTTTATGTCTTCCTGAGTTTGGTTGTATACACTTATCACATTTCCATGGTTTGAAAATGTATTTACTTGTTCCACTAATTTTCCTTTTATTACTATTTTGGCTCTCATTTGTTCCTTGCCTTGTATTGTAACAACAACAACAACAACAACAACAAGTAGTAGTTGTAGTAGTAGTAGTAGTACTAATAATAATAATAATCATAATAATAATAATAACAATAATAACAATAATAATAATAATATGACATGTTAATTGTGACAGCAGGCAAACTCCTTATGAACAAGAATTGAACTGATTATATAGGGAGTATAACAATTGAGGATATTATCAAACATCGAAGAGTAAAGTTTTTGCTCCAACTTTTATTTTAAAAAAATAATAATTATTTATCATAATTTAATTAATGCTGAAATGTGGGGCTGTAATGCTGAAATTAGCACACTCTTATATTCTTCCACATTACACAAGAGAAAGAAGAACCATTCTTGCAGAGAATATGACTGCAATTTCACTGCTTTGAAAAAACATCACCAAAAATTTATTTTTAAACCTCAGCAAAACTTGAAACAAAGGTGGGGAACGTATCAAGAACTCCTCACAGGAACTTAAATGTGAATGAGAAATACAGTGACGTAAATCTCTTCATATTCATAGAACATTTCTTAAGAAACTGCTTTGATGCAATTTGTATGAAACACATGATCTATCGTGTTCATTCCAATTCTCTCCCAAGCATATGGCACCCATTATTACAATTCCAAAAACACTTCAAAAAAGTGTTTGGAAAAGCACGTTTTCATTCCAAAAACAAAGATTAAAAATAGATTAAGATATGGTGAGTATCTCAGTAGCTCACAGAAGACAATTGAATCATTTATTTCAGAAACCCGTGAAACACCAAATTCCTTATTTCGAGAAAACTGAGAAAAAATTTGCCCAATTTTTCAGATTTCAAAATATTTTTATTTATTATCACATTTGATAAATGAATATTTTTAATATAAATATGAACTAAACGATGTGTCTATCCTCTTGGAACAACAATCCGTTGCTAAATGTGTGTTTTAGATTTTGGCATTTGATGGGTCTCTGAAATAAACGATTCAATTGACATATTTTCATTTCAGTAGAATGAGCTATCATTAGTATATATATATTTATATATATATATATTATATATATATATAATTATATATTTATATATATATATCTATATATATACATATGATATATATATATACATATATATACATATATATATATACATATATATACATATATATATATATATTACAAACGAAATTTTATTCTCATATTTTTTATCCTGGGTATCTAAGCAGTTTTATTTTATTTTGTTCCTCCCGATAATCAGGATGTTAGGATGTAAGTCACGGTTCTGGAGGCGAGAGAAACTAACAAAAATCATTTTTGTACTTTATTAGTAGGATTATTCTTTGTAGAGTTTTTCATAGTCTACATATTACAGGAGATCAACCTTGATTGCTCAAAAGAAGATACTGTATTCCTACTAACCTTTCCATTTATAGCACATAGATATTTCAAACTTTTCATTGTTACTATTGATTCATCATTCTTAGAAAAAACCTCATTTTTCCAAAGAACAAATTCTTCCTTTATTTGGCCATGGGTATTGATTATTTAAAAATAGACAACAAAACTTTCTGAAATACTGATTGTTGTAACAAAACAAATTTAAACAAGAATATACAAGGAAAAACTAGTGAGAAAAACAAGCAAATACTTTATTACAAATTATCTTAAGTCTGAATAAATTTATGCAGTATATTTAATGCCAAAATGTCAGTGCATCTGAAAAAAAATTATTTTAAAAGTATCTAAAAATCTGAGAAAATTATCTCTCAGGTATGAATGAAAGTCTTCAGCAAGTAACTTCTAAACATCCCACAGTGGACAAAGAGAGCAAAACTCATGCAATAAGCCGTGCAACAAGAACAAATCACAATATAAAGAGAGCAAATCAGTATCATGAATACAGAGGTTTGATTCATTAGTTGATTCTTTTTACGAACCCTGATGGTGGAAATTGGATGGATCTGCCTGCCAATGGCCACGTATGTTGCCTCTTCCTGGTGCCAAAGGTACACTCCTGTGAGGAGGGGCGGAGGAAGGCAGGGGTGGGGGAACCTCTACCAAACAAAACAACACATGAAACATCAGAATATATGTACAACTCCAGTACAGAGTTTTTCAAACTGCATGTCCATTCCCTACATAACGAAAACTTCCAACACATGTATAAACCATCGCAAGATATGTTGGACTTCTGTGCAGTTATATGACATAAGTTAGCTGCCAGTGAAACAAATGACTTATGAACAAATAAGTGCATGTTAAGTTGCATAAGATGATTTGTTATAACTTTAATCGAATAATTTGAATTGAATTTTAGAAATTGTTGCTGTAACTTTGCAAAAATTCAATTTATATTATTATTAGTCTTGATACTTCACAAAACATATAGATATTAACACATCAAATAAGAACCCATCATATACAACAAAGAAGTATTTGTAATGAATTGATAAAAAAATTATGAAGATCAACTAATTCACAAATCTGAATTGGGGCAATTAAAACATCCCAGATCTTATAATTGCAGTCACAAAAGTTTGAAAAACACTGCTCTAGAGCTATGCTGAACTAATTTTCCTATTTCAATAATTATTATATCAATCATATTGTAGCTATTACAATACACATAAATGAAAACACCATGAAGAATAAATGAAGGAGTTATGTCTGTGCAATGAATATGAGGGTGCCAGAATCTGTTCAAGTTTCTCTGTGAATGTCTGATTGTTTTTTACCTACTAAATGTGGATTCATGTAAATAGAAACTAATAATAATAACAATATTATTATTATTATTATTATTATTATTATTATTATTATTATTATTATTATTATTATTATTATTATTATTTCATAACATTTTGTAATTTTTTGAATAATTTTTATTTAACCTTCCTATGATAATTTATTTAACCATTAGTCTAAGCTGTAAATTCAATCCAAGCAAACTTTCTACAATATAAATAAATGTAATGCCCGATGACAAAAGTAGCATAAAGAAAAGGAATTTTCTGCATTGTAGCATAAGTGATAATTTAACTCTTAAAACATGTATGTCATACATCATTATGTGTCATAACAGTGGATTTATTACTTTCCTGAATTCTTCATTACACACTTTTAATGTAATTTTATTTACATTTATAATAAAATGAGCATCTGCTTCATATTTTTGCTTATATGTTTCGTTTCTTTTTGTTCTGTCTGAATGGAGAGAAAGTAATTGTCTATAATTCTACAGTGTACTTTAGCTGATTAATCTACTTTATTTGATTATGAATATTACAAGAATTATTTAAGAAGATTTATTTGATTATGAATATTACATATTAGAAAAGACACAATTTTTTCAATTCAATCATTCAATTGAACTTTTAAAATAAAAAATGAACAATATTTTTTTATTATCATTTTATCATCATTATCTATCTTTTTCTTGTATAAATTATTGTTGCAAGTAAATTCACAAAGAACCAATTTTGCACAATTGAATACTATGGGACAGCATTAATTCATAATAGGATTTCATGGTAAAACCCTATTCAACCTTTCCCATTAATGTTGAAGAAATTCCTACTTGGATATATATAGTAACTGGAAAACAAACTCTGGACAATAAAAACCAAAGTAGTTCAGCATACTAACTGAAAAAATAAAAATAAAGTTGAAAACAGCAGAATGTCTGTAATAATCAATTGAGACTAAACCCCTTCCAGAATATGAAACTGTTCGGATTTTCTAAATAAACAAATAACAGGCCCAGTAGACCCATAGTCATTGCAGTAGAGTTATTGCTCTGGGAAAAATTAAAGATATTGAATCTGCAGATTTTCTTATATCCATTTTACATAAAAGAATAATATTGTTGCCCAAAATAAATTTGATTTAAGATAAGATGTATTAAAAAACAACAGAGTACAATACAATGGCAGTAGTATGAAATGTAAAAAAATCATGAAATTTAATTATCTTATTTATAGGATATTTCATATCTATGTATTATGTAATTTTCCACAGTCAATAATTTTAATAAAATCATGAAGTCAGGTTGACATTTGTAAACATATAAAGTTTGTGTATCCAGTATTCACTACATGTGATTTCTTTATCACCAAACCTGGATCTAGTTTATCAATGGTCCAAATGAATTATCTCAATTATTGATGATCCACTGAATTACTAAATTACTTTAACCAAATTTCAAAATTTTACCACATCATATCATCTAGAGGTTTACAGAGCATGGCACCACAATGTGATAAATTATTTTCAAGAAATGTCTTTCCATATAATTCTATATACAAGTGCTGACATAAATTTAGAGACAAAGTAGAAATTAATGCAAATCCTACCATTATACCACGCATGCATAGCCATATGATGGGCATGTTTAGTGAAATCCACAAGAGATTTGTGATAATAATAAATTTATTACCAACTACCACAACCAATTTTGATATGTTATATATAATACCCACCACCTTACTCATTATTTTTATCTGCCTTTAAAAGTCTGAAGCCTTATTATTTGACATTATAGTTATGCAAAACATTTCTTCTGTGTAATTCATTATTTACTACAAATTTTACATTTTACCAATAATCAATTTTGTTTAAACATTTTGAGAGTTGACAATTTCCACACTTGTATATTAGTGAATAATTAAGACACTTGTTAGTCAATTTTGATGACTGAAAGTAGTCTACATACTTTAATATACTTCTAAAATTTATTTAATTTACTTTATATTCTTAAATATTACTGGGTTGAGAAATATATGTGAAAATGAGATGTCAAAAACACCAAAATTTTTCCAATGTGCCACTATTTTTAACAAATATTAAACAATAATGGATGAAAAACAATTATCTGACATGACAATAATGAATATGGCGATGATGATGAATCCGTCAAGAGAAAGTTCATTGAATCAAAGACGGAAAAATTGGTGAATTATGTAACATCCCACTAAGATCTCAACATTTACCCAAAACAAACACAAAGAAACAAAAGCACATGTACACACACTCACCCACTAACACATAAAATCAATCCCCCAAAACAATGAGTCACCGAAAAGTAATATTAGGCTGTTTTTTAAAGTTTACATCTTGAGTGACAGATGAAGAGAAAACTACAAAATGAAAAAGAAACAGTCTTTAAAGTATCGTAAATACTTAGCTAGCATAGTATGATGCCACTGGCAGATATTTTCTCGATGCCACTGTCAAATATTTATTTGATCTATGTAGGTTCATAATAAAACTAAATTTTAAGCATAATACAGGTACCTGATAGGTCTGCCTTTGAGCAAGAATTTATGTGAAAAAGGATCTACAGAAATAATTTTTAAAAAATTGTCAGATGCTTTCAAAGAATCGTTTCCTATCATTCTTCCAGAATATTCTGAAAGAATTTGGCCAAAGAAAGTGCCAATCAACTTGTGAGAAAAATTGAATGACCTGTCGTATTGAAAGCTTATTATAAGAAGGGACCGCTTTCACAGGTACTACTGGCAATATCACTGCATGTTACGTCCATGGACTCTTTTTGGCAGTGTGTTCATTTACAGTTAGTTCATTTGTAAATGGCTTCATCACTATCTCTTGCAATGTCATCACCCTGCACGATGTTCATTTGTTTCCAGACCAGTCAACATGGTCCCTTCTTAACAGAAACTCCTCTACATCTCTGTAACCCCACTCCAACATGTTTTTTCAAGAATTCTTTAAGAAAGTTCCGGAAAAATCTGTAAAAAATTGTCAATTCTCCAACAGAGGATACAGACACCTTGCTCTCCCCAAACGGTGGACCACAAGATGCCTAAAGGTTACATATATAAGATAGTTTAAGAAAGACAGGAAATTTTCACAGAATGTTTCATTTACTCGCACACAGAGAGTACCACAATGATACAATGTCTGAGAAATTGGGACAATTAATTTGCACTTTGGGACAAGCTGATTTCAGAGTAACAGCAGAGGCCATTATTCTACTCTTTGTGACATACTGCACAAACGCATGTAAGGGCATCGCGAAAGGATAATATCCACCATTCAAAAGACAATGCACAAGGCAATAACAAGCAAAATTTGTTTTGCACCGAGTGACAAGGGAACTTGACTTTCGAGGGTGTTCACTGATTTTCTAAAACAAATATCCCTAACATTTTCAGGTTTAACAAAGCAAATTTTTTTTACCCTTTCTTTCTTTCTTTCTTTCTTTTTTCCCCCCTCCCTGATAAGATTTGTAACTTCAGATTACTTAAAGAAAATATTAAGCTACTATGATGATAATTGGTCAGCTCTCTGATTTCACTGTGACAAAGTACAAATAAAAAATAATTTTTCTCCAAATAAAAAATGAGCACAAAATAATGTTGAACTAATGTTTTTAAGGAATAATATCCAGTTTTATAACACTAAAAATTTTCCCTGACTTTAAGCTATTCTTTTACAAATTTCCTGATTTTCCCAATACTTTTTCATAACAATTAAATTCCCTGATTTTTCTGTTTTCCAGAAGTGGCGACGTTAAGTAACGGCCATATCAGAAAAAAGTGATGCTGGGCAATGACAAGCAAAGTACATTAATGAATGATAAACCTATGATAATAACAAGTGATCAACCTGAAATATGCTGGCAGAGTGGAGAGCAGACTGATTGCATTCGCCAAGTCCAAATGATGTGAAATAACAAAATCCAAAGCAGAGTTCTCTAGATTTATCTGCCTACTCAATAACTGACATAATGTGAGAGTTTGCCTGAGCATTAATGATCATCCAGGGCACAGGCATATTGTGCAAACACCAAACACAACCACCTTTGTACATTCAAGTACATTCAGTGCTGCTAATAGTCAAAGAAACTGTTAAAATTGGCCCCCCAAGATTATGGTAACACAAGAAGCCATTAAGCATAGCCCACGAGCCCTAATATTTAAGAGGTGAGGACAATTGTAATGTTAAGTGATTGACAGATCTGGTGTAGGGTGCTAATTGGAAATTTTCTTTAAAGGGGACCTACAAAATATTATGAGGGTACAATGAATGAATGAATAAATGGTTAGAAAAATGAATAGCATCTTCTCTTAAGCAACACAATTTGAGTGAATTTTAAATAAGCCCTTAAGATTGTTTTCATGTCCAATTTCTATTATTTGCATTCCTTCATTTCAATACTTCAGAGTGTGGAAATTGTAAATATGGCACCTTATGTTGATTAATTGTATCCCTGGTAAGGAGAAATTAACGGGACATCCATCTCTCGAGGAGAGTGTTGAACCTCAGTATCCTATCCCGGCATCAAAGTGCATGATAAGGGCACATCTTGAAAAGTTAAGTGGTTTGTTGTATGGCAATAATATCAGAGATGTGGCGCACAGCCTGTCCAGCCCGTATTCAGCCTGATAGAAAGTTTTCTTATGCTGCATCAGGCATGTCAATTTTGGCTTTGTTATAAAGCTAAGGCCTCCGATAAAATCTTCTATGAATGGTACCATACAATTCACAGTTTTACTGTAAATTCATAAAACCTCCGCCTGAAGATGCTGTTACTAAAACCACAAAATATTATACATCTTCATTAATAAATAAACATTTCTCATGAACTGAGAACTTTTCAATTGTTTTTGCTAGCCTAAATTCTTTGGAAACTACACTGATAAAGCTACCTTCCATGTGCGGGTAAAATAAGGAGAGAAAAAAAAAAAAAAAAAGAAAAGAGAGAGAGAGAGAGAGAAAGAAACATTAACTTACCCTGTGAAGTACTATCTACCCTGTTCCATGTTTCTTGTGGCCGAACTCCATTCTGATGAGGAGGTGCAGATGTACGAGTTTGTTGGTAAGGCTGAGGTCTCACAGAAGCATCAAGGTTATCTGTAACATGTTTTGTTATTGTGTTGTATCATGTTGCACAAATTATTACTAAATTCCTGTTTCTTTTATTCATTCTCAAAAACATCAAATAATTGTGCTCCCACTTGCATTTTTGTTTGTATTGCTACTTTACTTGTTCAGGTGATGTAATAATTCAAATAATTAACTTCCAGATTTGAGTTTGTTAGCATTCAATAATTCAGATTACTTCCTCTCTAGTTTACTGGGCCTGTTTCCCACCCACCCATCCTTTTTTTTGTTGGTAGTTTGTTATTTTTTTTTGTGGCTAATTAATGATGATGAAATGGAACGCCATACTCTGCTACCAAACTCAAGCAAGGGAGAAGGCTTAGACCTTTTATGCTATCATCTTTCCACATTCAACCATCACATTTATAGTTTGTTATTGCCTTCTGCTGGATGGTTGACAATGATGATCATAAGGGGTGGATTTTGATGATGAGAGGTTAGTGATTACAGATGAAATGATAGTTCAGACTTGATTGATACGAGATGGAATGTGAAGTCAACCACACCATAAATACATGGTGAAAACAACCTATACCTTACGTGGTTCATGAATCTGCATCCTTTGAATCTGTGTACATGGATACTATACCAAGCCTTCAACCATTCAGTCAGGCTCACAGTAATTTGGTGGCGCTGCTAGCTGAATTTATTTACTATACTTCATGGGGTCACGGAGCTTAAGAGTTATTCCACAACAAATCGAACACGGTTTTACCTTAGGTATTCCAAATTCATTGAAACTTCTTCAATAAGTACTGAGGGAAACTAGGCTTAAATGTGTAAAGAGGCTTAAATGGTGTTGTTTTTTTAAATTTAACTTAATTATTTTGGAAGTAATGCCACATGAAATTTTCCAAAGAAACATGCGCACTAACACATAAAAACACTTATATCTCCTTTTTCATTGATTGGAGAGAATGATATTAGTCTCAAATAACAGCTCAAACACACTTATTTAAGACAATTTATAGTTGGATTTAATAGTTAAGTATCAATCATTCATTAAATCTTAATCAATTATACAAATTTGCAATTTTACAAATTTCACCAAAATAAAATTTTATTTTAAAAATAATATTTAATTCTCAGTTTAATGAACATCAAATAAGCAAAATTTCAAATGCAGATATTTATAAATGATGTAATTAAAAAATATTAATTGAACACGTGTGCAGACACAGTGTACTGTAGGTATGTTTCACCCTATTACTTATAGTACTACTTGGACCAGTGGCGATCGGAATGAAAAGTGGGCATCATCTGAATAATCTTAAAACATTTTTAAATGTCTAGGTATGAATACAGGTTAGTTTTGTCCTGTAGCTTTGGAAGAATGCCGCCCCCCTTCCCACGCCCTCTTTTGACATTTGGGTCTGAAAATCGAAGCCCTCATTCTGCCATCAGCGGATACAGCACGAACAACTTATTATGCCCCTCCTAGATGTAAACAAAGGGGCCCTTCTTTGAAATCCTGATGAGCACCCTCGTCAAGGTTTCTGCCAGTATTTGTTTAATTTTTCTTCAATCTGGTTCCACTACAGTCGCATCATGATTAGACACGTACTACGTTGTACGGCAAATCCAATTTTATTTGTTGTAGTGCGCTGACTATGTACAGCAAGTGTAACCAGTGTTTACACCAGGTTTTACATAAGTTATGTTGGACTGTAAACTTTATGTTTAATATAAATCACCCAAGACATGACTTTAATTATAATACATTCTATCTCAAAATTCACTGTGGTAGGTTAAGAAGAAAAACTTTACACGTGTGACAGTCTATTCCGTCCTTGTTCAAAATTCAGTTCAAGAAGCACATCGGAGTAAGAACCAGGTCACTCTTCACCCCTTTGTTATATATTTTAAGTATAATAGTCATCTAAGGCTCAGAAGTGTAATAACAATTTCCAAAAGCATGAAGAATGATACAAATGCAGTTCACCTTGTCCAGAAACATTTGACTGAATTTCTGAAAGTTGAAGTAGGTAACGTCAAAAAGCAATATATTTTTCAGATAAAGCAAGGCCCGTGATATTCACTTTATGTTTTTGGCCAACTGATGACCAGAAAAACATGTGACTTATTGAAATCTCACTATGAAAAAGTGAAACTAGTTATACAAAAATGGACAGTTGTGAATCTATTATTTTATTAACTTTTGTTAAATGAACATAGCCGATCCGGTGGCCGAGATCGCTAAGGCAGTAGTGCCGTAGCGATCTCGCACCGAAAGATCTGGGGGTTGTATCGTGTTCGTCCTTTCACCCCCTATCATCCATCATCCTCCATCTCTCATTATCACCTTGCTGAATAACATTCAGAATTGTAACTCGAGGATTTATCCTCACCTCAAGGTGAAAACCTTCGACAGTC